TGATTCTCATCTTCAATATTAAAATGGCTACACAAAAATTCACAAATTTTCATTTTTTTAAATGCACACTGATATGACAGCTGTCACAAAGCAATCTAACAAAATTGTTTTGAATGAAGTTAAAAACTAAATGCTACTAAAGCTATTTTACTGAAAAAAAAATGCAATGACCCTTTTGGCCAACCCAATATTTACAATAAGACTTCTTTACTTAAGGATAGAATCTACAGAACTGCATTCCTCAAAATCATTATTCTTAAGTGTAGCCAGGAACTTCAGGACAGACCAGGACAGACTAGACATTCCTTTATTGATCTTCATCTAGTTCATGAAGTTGTGAGCACTTCAGAGGAAATCTAATCTAGATGTTTTTCAAATTACTTTTTATTTTTCTAGGCACAAAAACACTTTTTCTTTTAACAAAAGTTTATATGAAACTCTGACTGTTGGATCAGGGCAGGGAAAACCTACACATAACTATTAAGTTAACTAAGAAAAAGTCATTCATTCTACGAATATAGTTAGGTATAAAAATACCCAATATTTTAAACTTCAACTCTGAAAATTTCCAAATTTCTACAATTAACATACCAGCCATCAAAGCAGAGAAATGATCTCAAAGACCTACTTTACTGGCTCCCTCTTTCACCATGAGGGAAAAAAAAAATCCCTAGAAATTGTATTTCAGATCTGCTCCACCTTTAGTTACTCAACTCTATTTTCTGCAGGAGAATGGTGAAGTACAAGGAGTGTCATAGGTCCCACAGAACAGAACAAATTAGGAGAAACTAAAAAGAAAACATTCACTGATGACATATGCTTGCCATAAATGGTACTAGGCACTTTACACAAATTATTTAATCCAACAATAGTCCCACAAAATAGAAAGCATCCTCATTTTACAAATAAAAAATCCCTGAGATTCTGTAAGATTTAAGAAATGACTTGCCCAAGTTAAGAAGAGTCAGCATTCAACTCTTCAGCTGCCTAGCTCCAGATGTCTTTCCTTAACCCCATCAAATTCCAAAAGTATCTTTTTCATCTTGGCTACTCTTGAACTGGCTTTACATTAGCAACCAACTATCTCTGTACCTAACAGCACTGTATTCTCAAGCTGTTACTGATATTTTCAACATCAAAACAATCCATCCCTCTCCTTTCTCTTCATCCCTGACTAGGAATATCACCTATACCCAAAACATTAAGTTTATTACCTAACATTAGAGCTAGGGAAGAAATTCTGAGGTCACCAAGTACAAATCCTTCATTTTTCAGACAACCTGTGCCTAGAGGTTTTATATTCTAGTCTTACCATATGGCATTTTGAAAAAAACCTGTATTACCCTTATATCACAGGAGGTTCCTTCTGAACACTGAATGGTCATGGTACCATTTAAAAAGGTTTGTCTTTGCTAAAGGAAATAACATCCCTGTTCTGTTCCTTCCCAATCTCTTCTGCTAGGGGTCTATGCCAGCCTTTGTCTCTAGCATACTGATTTCCAATACTGAATGTGGAGATGGTAAATTTGCAGCAACTGATCAAGTAAACTTTAGGGGCTATAGTTAAACTGCCTGAGTCTACACTATTATTCTAAGAAACAAGTTGCATATCTTGGTAATCTCTAAATTGGAAGGATTCAAAGGTTGAGATACGGCAGTTCTATCTGGGATTCACCATGTTTGCTTCTGCATGAATCACACAGAAATGCAAGCTTATGAACTGGTCTACAAAGTATGTGAAGCCATCAAACACACACTGGAAACACTATAAACATAAATATATAAACGACCAGGAAAAACAGATCAAGGCAACCTACTGTAGAAAGTAGGAACTGGGGCAGGGGAATGAAGCAGGGAAAAGCTAGAGACATGGTAAACACCTAGTCAGTAAGCAGTGTTTATAACTATTTATAAAGGTCCATTACTAAGTACAATAAATACTATGTAATAAGTGAACACATGCCAAAAATTACAAAATGGAAACTAAAGAGATTCCATCCTGGAAATGCATTTGCTGGGGGAAAAAGACTTGCCCTACAGGAAGTCTGTGTCCTCTCTTTTTGGAAATACAGGTAACGAAGCTGCTGCATGATTAAGTGTACTGACTGCGGAGTCTGAAAACCATATACTAGCTGTGAGACTGAGAAAGTCCCTTTCACATTTCTTTGTCCCAGTTTCCCAATCTATGAAATGGGGACAACATCCCCTGTTGGGAACTGCCCTGCCTGGTGTCAGAAGCTGTAACCCCCGCCAAGGCTAAGGCTGAGGGAGTGGCCTTGGACCATAAGCCAGCAAGGAGACAAAAGCTTACCTCCCTGGCAGGAGCACGGCTTCTGCTGCTTCATTCATAACCGAACCCCAATGCTTGGTCGGTTAGCCAAAGACGGGTAAGACTCCCCAAAGGGGGAATGACCTAAGACAGGCACGATCACGTGGGAGGCCCCCAAGAAAGGACTCTGGGGGCTACAGCAAAAGGGGGTGATGGACCCTTGCTCCTCGGTTTTGACATAGCTGAGTCCTCATCATCTGGGAGAAAATCTCCTTATCCCTTGGCTGCCTTACTTCCCTTGCTCCACCGAAGCCTGAAACAATGACAGGGTGGTGCAGCTCTGTGCTGAAAAGGGCGGATTCCCCCGGTGATCAGCCCTAAGAAAGAATATGTAAAATCCTGTGAAACCTGCTTTGTTTAGAATGCTCTCAGTTGAATGATAAGGGTCCAAGGAAGAAGTAAGTTTGTTCTTTCAAGTTTTACAGCTCTTTGATCCTGACTCAAAATACACCCTCAGACTTCGTTGTTACCTATTGTTTGATCCTTACTTCCCTGCAATGTTTAATGAGCTTTACTTGAATTCCTATGCAAACGAACCCAATAAAAAGCCTCTCCGGAGGGGGAACAAAGCGCTCCCCACGTGAGGAGTGGCCAAGGCACCCTCCAAGAGAGAGGGTGGCCAAGGCGCTCCCCACATGAGTGGCCATTCTGTCCCCATTCCCCCACAGGAACTGGGTGTCTCTGTGTATGTTCTTGGCATGTTTCGACGAGCATCCGCAGCCGAGATGGATGCTGCTGGCCGGTATCCCCCACAATCCCCAACTCCAAAGTGTGGACCAAGTTAAAATAGCATACAAAAAGGACACAAAACCCCCATAAATGCAATTGCCTTATTGACATCACCACTTGCATGTCTCATAAGCAAACTCAAATAGGCTCAAGATAAAATGTTTGATCATCTTCCAAACCCTACTCATCTTTCCTAAGTGTAATGACATTAGTACCCTGGGAGCCCTTCTCTCTCTTCTTCCACATCCAACCCATCATCCAGTCCTATCCATTCTAAGCCCACATTATCACTCACTTCATCTGTACTGTCACCACCCTATTCTAAGCTACAATGATCTTTCACATGATTTACCACAGCTGCCCAAAGGATCTCTAGGCTTCCACTTTTGCTATCTCCAATTTAAGCAAAACCATCTCCTTAAAAACATAACTGTATCATCATGGCACCTCCCCATCCCTAAATCCTTTGTTAAGCTGTGAATTATTCTTTTCTGAAAAATATATTGTCATATATTTACTTATTTTAAGAAAGGAGAAGGGAGGGAGAAAGGGAGAGAAACATCAATGTGTGGTTGCCTCTTGTGTACCCCCTACTGGGCACCTGGCCTGCAACCCAGGCATGTGCCCTGTCTGGGAATCAAACTGGCGACCCTTTGTTTTTGGTTCACAGGCCAGCACTCAATCCACTGGGCACATCAGCCAGGGCAAGCTGTGCATTATCCTTAAGAAGCCAAACTCTTAAACCCAGTTTTCAAGGCCTTATATAATCTGTCCACTGCTTCCTTCTCAAGCCACTCTTCTGAGTCCTGAATTTGCTCCAGCACACTGGCTTTTTAGTAGTTCATCAAATGTGTTATGCTACCTCCTCACAAACTCCTACTCATCCTTTGGATCTCATTCCAAACTTGGGCCCTCTTTCATTACACTCTCACAGCAATCTGAAGTACTAATTTATTTTATTACATACAATCACAAACGGTTATAAGCCCAACTAAACTGAAAGCTCCTCGAAGGTGGACACTGATATCTGGTTCGCCTCACTATCCTCAGGAAAACCGAGTTTGCACACAGTTTGAGGCCAAATATTTGAATGAACTGTCAGGAACCCCACTAAGGCAAAGAGACAAAATACCTAATTAAATATCCTTACTTAAAAAAAATGTCTAACTTATACAGCTGCCCATTTTGCTTCAACATTCTCCACCACCACTCTGAACAGATTACACCAACTAACTACTCATGGGATGAGCTACCGCAAGTCTCAAACCTCAGACAGCCAGTCCCTGTCTCGCTTCACCCACCTCCCCTCAAAGTCCTGGGTCCAAGGTGAACCATCTTAGCATTGAGGCGAGAAAGAACGTGCCTCTTTTGCCCCTGCGAGTGGAGGGGTCCCGGACCACCCGGGGGAAGTTTCCTAATCCGAATGTCCAGGCCGGGAGTCTGAACACTACTTGAGGCAGCCGTGACGTACGCAAGCTGGAACGCTTCGTCAGCTGCGAAGCCGCGAGACGCTTCTTTGAGGCTTCTCAGGAGCAACTCGAAACTCGCGACCTGGCCCGAACGCCTAGCTGAGCGTCGCAGACCCTCAGCAGTTCATTCAATTTAAGGAGGGCGGACGCAAAAGACTATGACCCACCTGCCTCGCCCTTTAAGAAACACCCCCATTCGAGCCCGGCGGGGTCTGAGTAAATCCTCGCGAGAGCCCCCGGATTCCGCCCGCTTCCTCCTCTCGGCTTGCCGGGCCGGAAGAAAGACGGCGCATCCCCGCCCCCCGCCTCATCTCACAGGCAGCGCGGTTTCAGCTGTGGCCAATCAGCAAGCTCATTGTTGGCCACTACGCAGAGAGCCAATGGAAAGTCGCGGCGCGCGCCGACCTTTCCCTTTTCCGCACCGGCCCCCTCCCTTCCGCCCGCCGACTTCCACTCAGCCCCCTGGCGGAGGAAGTGATGTCACAGGCCCCATGTGAGCGGATTGCAACACATGCAGCTGCCTGGAGAGAGGGAGCCGGTGTCCTACGTCAGAGCCGCCGCCGCGGAGCCGCCGCCGGGGAGGAGCAGCCGCTGCCGCCCAGGACTGGGCCCTTAGGTAAGCCAGGGGGAGGGAAAGGCCAGAAGTCCCCACGGCTGGTCGCGCGGGGCGGAAAGAGGAAGGCCTCTCTGGGGTGGCAAGGAAGGGGGCCGCTCTGCCCCAGTGGCGGCGCTAACTCTGTGGTTTTGGTGTCTCCGGGCCCCGCCGGGCCGCTCTAGGGAGGAGGAGGCGAGAAGATGGCGGACGACCCCAGTGCTGCGGACAGGAACGTGGAGATCTGGAAGATCAAGAAGCTGATTAAGAGCTTGGAGGCGGCCCGCGGGTGAGCGCTGCGTCCGGCCCCCCCGTGCCCTCCTGGTACTCGGACCCCTCAGGATGGCCGCCCCCGCGCCGCATGGCCGGATGAGAAAAATCAGGCACTAGCCAACTCCCGCCTTCTGGACCTTTGAGTAGTTGTCCCTGACCCAAGGGCTAGGGTCTATATGACTGACCAGAGAAGGGGTCCTTCCCCCGCTTATGGGTAAGAGGCCCGGCCCCAGGGCCCGGACCACTCTCCCCCCTTGTGGCAGGCCACTGTTACTTTTGTACCCCTCCTAGGCTCTTGAGTCCAGTTTCTCTCTTTAGAGCTCCAGGTGCTGCCACCCATCTCGGGTGCTGTTGGGAGAAAGGGCTCGGCCTTTCCGAACGCCCTTCCCTGATATCCTCCCTTCCTCTCCTTGCACGTTCTTCAGCCAGGCCTCATTAAAATGGCCTCTTCCTCCGGGGTGTCTGGGACCCGGTTGGGTGAAGTTTGCGTGGGTCAGGAAGGAGAGGTGGTCAGGAACAACCTCTTTCTGACATCCCCTGATTTCTCTGGGTCTTGCAACTCTTCCAAGATGACTTCCTCTAAATCCTCTAATTACTCCGGAACTTCCTGGTTTTAGCTATTCCAGGACCCACCTATAAACGAAAATGCCAACGTGTGTGCGGTGAGGGAGTAGGGCAAGTTTTGGTTGAGGAATCTATATCTGTATATCCAGGAAAAATCCAGATTATGGGGCTGCTCATATGAATTGCAACAAGGTTCCTTTTGGCTTCCCTGGACCTTCTGGGGATAGAAGTGCCCAATGGCTTGCTGAAACTCAGAATTAAATTAGATGGGCTTGAGTCTTTTGTAAACTTTGATTAGAAACTGTTAGGTGCATTCACTGCGGGAAGGATAAGGTCTCTTAAAACTTATTTTTTAAGTTTTACACACACACATATAGATAAAGATACAGATATACACACACTTTTAAATTACTCTTTTGGGGGGAGGTGTGTCAGAGGTATTCTGGTTTCCTTAATTATTTCGTTCCTTTCTCAGTTTTGGGAACTTTTTACTTACAGAAAGTGCTACCAAATAAAAACAGTTTGGGACATGACACATTTGTGGGTCTGAGCAATCTTAGAGTAGGGGAGTGACTTGTTCTAGGCCATTACGAAAGTTTTCAGCCAAGGTATTGAACATTTTAGTTTCCAGCCCAGGTTTGGCCTTGATTGATAGATTTGCAGTAAGATTTATTAAGCTCTTAATTGCTATACCTTATGAAGTAAATGTACTTAGTTCCACGGAAGGCCCAAATTAAGACTGGTTTGCTATAGTCTTTTCTTAATGAATTGGTGATAGTTCTGCTTGGAATGAAGCTTCTGAAAGTTTGGCCCTATTCAGGGACTTAGGCTTTTGCTTACTCTAATGTGAACTGAAGTAGCAGCTTGTTTTTTATTCTTAGGTTTGTTTTTCTTTGAATTTAATAGAATATTCAGACCTAGTTAATAATCTTACAGGAATTTGAACACATAGTTCTGCGACACATGATAGAATGAATAATTATTCCCCATGTATGAGAATACTATACAAAAGGGGTAATGTAGATCATGACCCATAATGATACACTACCAGGAATTAGCCAGGTTCTTTTGTTTCTTCTGTTAGCCAGGATCTTCTGTTGTATTTTGAGTATGGTTTTTATAAGTTGTTGCAGTGTTGTGTAAAGTTGGCTGTGACCTATAGATTTGTTCTCTTATTTAATTTGGAAGCCTGTTTACATGTTAGAATTCACATACATTATGGTCTCTGAAGGAGTGTAGACTATGAATTCAAGGCTATAATTTGCCTGTTGTCTGAGTGAAATGACATGGAAGAAATAACACTGCTTATAAATAACATTTCTTTCTACTGCTTCAGGAACCTCATTCTTAAATTTGTTCCTAGCTACTTCAAACTCTTAAGCTCCCCTTTAAAGCTTTTAAAGGCTTTTCCCCTTTGATTAGCAAAGTTCATTAAAGATTAAATGAAGTTCTTAAAACTTTTTTTTCAAGTGATGAAGTTAGTTTGGATGTTTTAGGATTAAGTTGTTTAAAATAGCTGGAGAGTAGTTTTTATCTAAACAAGTAAAGTGGTTGATAATCTTGTCCTACTTTGCCTACTTTCTTTTATTCAGGTTTTGGTTGCACCGTGAGCCCATGAAAATTTAAAATCTTGGCCATCTCTAGGTATCAGTAAGGGAGTAACAAGTTTATTCTCTTTGCTTCAGAAGTTTCCCAGTACATACTGGTTTCTTTTCAGGAATAGCAAAGTTATATTTTCATGGCCAAGTTGTATTACAGTCAGGCTCAGATTATCATAGTGTACAGTGAGAATGTTTTTTCCTTACCAAGTGCCAAAATATTTTAAGGAGAAACGTCATGGACTTCAGAGAGAAACTGGATGGCAAAAGTGAATCTGCATATTGGGGGCAATCTGGGTTTCAGGACAAAACTGAGGTTGTGTTCATGTGTGGTTGTTAGCACTAGATAGTGAAACTTAGTGGTGGATTAATAGAATTGTGTGAGTTGAAAGGGGTGTTACATGTATAACTTGAATTTAAGTTGGGTGGGACATCCCTATTTTATTTCAGATAAGTTTGTGTGCTAGTAAAATAATGAAACAGCTCTTTTGCTATATAAATCCCATTTAAAGTTAGTGGGAGTTTCTTCCTGATTTATGATTTCTCCTGGTATATTCTTTACAGTTGGTTTAATGGGGATAAATGTATGCATTAGCCGAAACTGGAACTAAGGCCGTGTGAATAGAATGGTGGTTGCCGGTATTCTGAATAGGAAACTAAAGCTGGTGAATGGTAGGTGGGAGATTTGGGTGGTTTTTTCTTCCTTATGTTTCCTGAACTAGCAAGAAATAGTCCCAGAAATATGTTGGAAGCTTCATGGTATTCAGGTAGTAAAATCATAACCAGAGTTTGTTCTAACCAAAGCAGTGGTGAATGTGACAGAGGAACAGACAAGGTTAATTTACATCTGTGGGTGTTAAAAATAATTCACTTATCGGCAACAGGGAACCTTGTGTATTTCAGATATATTGAGGGCTGGGTCAGATAACCCATGTTTGAAGAGTAGTGAAGTTTGTAAACTTCATTTGGTTGTTGTCTTTTGTCTTTTGGTATTTTTAAAGCTTACTGTTTAGTTAAAATAATTGGTAGCGCTGTCTGGGTAGCTCAGTTGGTTAGATCTACCTGATACACTACGGTTTCAGGTTTGATCCTAGTTGGGGCACATGCAAGAATCAACCAATGTATGATGGATAGGTGGGACAACTCTGTCTGTCTGTCTGTCTGTCTGTCTGTCTCTCTCTCTCTCTCTCTGCCCCCCTCCCCCCTCTTTTCCCCTCTCTCACTCTCCCTCCCTCACTCTTTCTCTCACACCAGTTAAATAAAAATAACTTCCAGATACCTTGATTTTGAAGGAAATAGAAATTACCTGGCTGTATGTGACTGTCTCCTGCCTCTAAATGTAGCTCTGGGGCAGGGGGACTGCTCTTCTCTCAAGAACTCTGATACGAGGTATGTGAGTTTTTCCCCGTACCAAGCAATTCTCCAATTCTTAGCCGCCACCAGCCGAGTGTCCTACAATTCAGTTCACTCTGACAGTGCCTGAATTAACATCAGTTCCCACAAGGTAAAGGGCTCAGTATCACGAGACTGCCCTACTTCTGACCTACGGGCTATAAATTTGGTTATTAATTTATAGGGTTATTTATTTAATTTATAATTAAATTTGGGGTTCATCAATTTGTTGGAATTGCCCATAGAGCTCAGGGAAACACTTTACTTGTGTTTACTGGTTTATTGCAGAGGATACTATAAAAGATGCAGGTGAACAGCCAGGTGAAGAGATACATAGGGCAAGGTCTGGAATGGTCTGACTGGGAGTACTTCTACCCTTTTGGAACTGGGGTGCAACACCTGGATTTACCAGCCTAAAAGATCAATACAACACATTCAGGAATTTTATAGAGCTTGATCTACAGCATACCACCCCCCTTTCCCCTTCCCTAAGGTCCAAGGATAGAACTGAAGGTTCCAATCCTGGATACACTTGTTTTTTCTGGTGACCAGTCCCATCCTGAGGCTATCCAGGAGCCCCACTCTAAGTCACTTAATTAGCCTAAACCCAGATGTGCTCTAAAGGGACTCCTAATAGGTAACGAAGACACTCCCACAGGGAATTCTTATTATCACCACAAGATTTCTTACATTGTGTTGAATTAAAAGTAATTTTGAGAGATCATTGAATAAGTTTATAAAAATCTTACAAATAATATGTAAATTGTTAATATAATTTGAGTAAATTAAAGACTACTAAGTGTGTTAGAGTATCTTCCCCAAGTGAAAATTGTTAACAGAACATTCACTTAAATGATACTCAGAATGTTTTCAAGGCCATGAATTTCAGAGGTAGTAAAGGCCAGAGGGGCAGAAAAGACTGTACTTGATAGGGCGTCCTCAGTCCACTTCAGGTGTCACAGGCTGCCTTCCTCAACTCTGAACTTGTCCTGACAGCCCTTGTATTCTGGCTTGGTGTGCTATGCACTGTGAACCTAATGAACAATTATTGTCTTTGAGTCTCAACTCTTGACAGACTTCTCATTGTAATAGCAGATATACTTATCCTTCCAGGAAAGGAAGGCCTACTCTGGACACATTCCTAGGTAAGCAAGAGTACCTAATTAGAATACTATTTAAGGCCTACTGCAATCTGGGTTATAGGTGGTCATCCCTCACCCCCACCCCTCCCTCTCCCTCTCCCTCCCTCCCTCCCTCCCTCCCTCTCTCTCTCTCTCTCTCTCTCTCTCTCTCTCTCTCTCTCTCTCTCTCTCTCTCTTTCTCTTTCTCTCTCTCTCTCTCTCTCTCTCCCTCTCCCCCCCTCTCCCCTCTCCCCCTCCCTCCCTCACACCCACACACACCCACACCCACCCACCCACCCCACCCCCAGCTGGACCCTTTTTAGTAGAGGGCCCTTTTTTTT